GGTCAGCTGTTAACGTCTCTTTGGAGCAACAATAAATTAATCGGAGCGGACAACATGTTTGTCCTCCAGGCTTTATGTAGTTCGCTGTTGTTTGTGTGGAGGAGGCCAGTTCTGAGACGATTCAACAGACTGTTCCAGCCTCGCGGGGGTGGCAATGTTTTTAATTTAGCCAAAAGAAAATAAAAATAAAAAAAAATGAAAAAACAAAAACAAAACAAGAACTTTGTAATGTGAAATACTCAGTGACTATCCTTACCAAAAATATCAAGCATGGAAATTATGACAATATCTATGTAGTTTGCAACAGTCTTTAGGTTTATTTTTGTCCTGAAGTGCAAATTATGACACCACTGACTTATTCCTTTGAGAAGTGAGATGCAGTCCAATCAATGGAGAGCCTACAAGACTAAAGGAGTGATTTTAACTGAGTTCAAAAACCTAGTTAATGAATATATTTTCAATTTGTTGGTGTCCCTCCCAATTCTCCAATTCTGCCATAGGGCAACCCTGTATGTTGTAAAACAAGAATATTTTTAGATTTTTTTAATGTGTATGAAGTTCTTTCCTGACTGCATCAGATCCTTTAACATTTTTTTCTTTAACTTCAGGATGATCAGTGCCACTACAACCCAGCAACCCGTGCTGCCAACTGCTCCAGTTACCAGTGTCTGCCTGAAGGGGACGAGAATGCTCTGAAGCAGGGTCTTGCTACCATTGGACCCATTTCAGTGGGAATTGATGCTAGGCGGCCCACGTTTATTTTATATAGGAGTGGTAAGATACACCTCATCAGATGCAAAGTAAATGGAAAAACAGTTTTAAAATGTTTGGAGGATGAAGGAGGTTTTTTTGTTTTTTAGAAGACAAATTTGAGTTCAGTTTTCCTGGAAATTATTATTTATGGCTGCTTAGAAAATTTTAATCAGATTGATCATTTCTTCTTATAATTTCAGGAGTGTATAATGACCCATCATGCACTCAGAATGTGAATCACGCTGTGTTAGCTGTGGGCTACGGCACTCTTAATGGACAAGACTACTGGCTCATAAAGAACAGGTGAGACATTTTCACTGATTTCTCTTGAATCTGGCTTTTATATACAAAGTGATTTCATGGACAGGGCCTTTATTGTCTTCCACCATCTGTTCACTAATGTGGTGCATACTGGAGGACTCTAGAAGACAAATAAGAAGTGAAAGAGAGAAGTCAGGCTTTTTAAAAAAGTACATATCATCAACACGCAAAAACTGACAGCCGAGAGATATAATCTCTCCAGAGTGTCCTGGGTCTGCCCCAGGGCCTCCTCCCAGTGGGACATGCCCCGAACACCTCACCCAGGGGGGCACCCAGGTAGCGTCCTTGTCAGATGCCCGAACCACCTCGACTGGCTCCTTTTGTTGTGGAGGAGCAGCGGTTCTACTCTGAGCCCCTCCCGGATGGCTGAACTTCTCACCCTATAAGAGGGAGGCTAGCCACCCTTCAGAGGAAGCCCATTTCTGCCTCTTTTATCTCGTTCTTTCGGTCACTGCCCACATCTAGTGACCATAGGTGAGGGTAGGGACGTAGACTGACCGGCAAATTGAGAGCTTTGCTTTTACACTCAGCTCTCTCTTTACCACAACAGACCGATACAGCGTCCGCATCACTCAGCCGCAGCACCAATCCATCTGTCGATCTCCCACTCCCTTTTCCCATCAGTCGTGAACAAGTACTTGAACTCCTCCACTTGGGGCAAGAACTTGTCCCTGACCCGGAGTGGGCACTCCACCCTTTTCCTGGCTGAGGACCATTGCCTCAGATTTGGAGGTGCTGATTCTCATTCCCAAAGCTTCACACTCAGCTGTGAACCATTCCAAGGCGAGCTGGAGGCCATCACCCGATGAAGCCAACAGAACCACATCATCTGCAAAAAGCAGAGATGACATTCTGAGACCACAAAGTGAAAGCTTTCTGCCACTTGGGTACGCCTAGGAATTCTGTCCATAGAAATTATGAACAGAATAGGTGACTAAGGGCTGCCCTGGCAAAGCCCACCACCCACCAGGAACAAGTCCAACTTATTGCCGGCTTTGCAGACCAAGAGCTGGTCAAGTGTTCCACGACCAGGACAAAAAAATGCATTGTTCCTCCTGTATCTGAGGTTCGACTAATGGACACATCCATTCATATGACATCCCTGTCCTTTGTTAATACTTAAACATAAACTATACTGAGTTAGATGTAAAAGTAGGAAGAAAGACAGTTTTGTTAATGTTTATTCAAAGATGAAAAAACAAATGTACCAGCTGCTGAAGTCAGTTCATTTTTAGAATTCATATGAACAAGCATTTAATCATCCACTGGACCTGGTTTTATCTTCTTTTGTTTTCTTTTTTAATAAAAACATTAAAAAAACAAGATAAGAATGACTTAATACATCAATAACAAAATGTGAAGTTTCAAAACATTTAATTACATTTATCTGATAATTCATTATTTTATACTCTCCAGCTGGGGAACTTCCTTCGGAGATCAGGGATACATCCGGATGGCACGCAACCAGAATGATCAGTGTGGCATTGCTCTGGATGCCTGCTACCCCGTCATGTAACTACAGAGGGAACTGAAATGAATCTCTTGCAAAATGAATATATCATTTATGACTTTTTTATTAAGTCTTCAAAAACTACAGCTTCAAACTAACACTTTTTGGTGCTTCTCTTGAAAAATTATATCTTGAGGAGGAATCATCATCACTGACTATCTTTGGCGTGTGACATTGTGGAAATGCTAATGTGTGTATCTCTGTGTGTGAGTACACACATTTTTGGTATACCCGCATATCAAAGTTCAAACTACTTTTCTCCTTGAAAGGTAAGGTTCAGCAATTGCTTTAAAAGATTTGATTTTTCACAAGTTAAAGAAAAATATTTATCCCCCAATGTTTACTTTGGTTAGCATTAACTACTAAATCAGGGGGTTACCAGAAGTATAGACATCTGTTCAAGGCTACAAGGTTTAATTAAAAATCTTTCTATATCTGTGGTAAAAAGTTGTGAATGTACTGGATGTTTAGCGCTGGACTACTGTATATTTTATGACATAAGTGAGATTAAGATTAAATTCACAACACAACATGTACTGCTGCTTTGTTGTTGACACTTATATTATATAATCAGACTCAATGTAAAAATAAAACATTTTCCAAAAATCTGGTTCCTTATTCACAAAATAATGAACATGGAATCATAATATTTAACTTTGAGGGTGTCATGGTGCTGTGTCTGTTACTGCGTTTATGTCTTTGGACTTTTGGCCTTGTTTTCTAACGATGGTAGTGGTTTATGTTTCTTAGCCCTTTTCTGGTATTACTTAGTTTCCTGGTTTAATCATTTAGATTTCTGGTTCTTAATTACTTTTAGTTAGTTCTGTTTCGTTCCCTCTCTTTTGCCTTTGTGTATCTTTATTGTGTGAGTTTGTCCCTTTGTCCCTCGTCAGATCCTGGTCATGTTCATCATCCGTCATGTTTCAAGTCTCAGGTTTTCTTGTTCCAGGTACCTTGTGTTTAGTTGTTTTTCACAGTTTAGTTTTTGTTGATTTAATCTTAGTCTCCCTTTTGCTTTGGTTGTATTTTGTGCAGTCAAAAATAAAAAGCTCACTTTCATTTTTGACTGCAGTCCTCCTTACTCTGCAATTGGGTCCACACTCTCCACACAGTCTGCCATCACAGACCTGACAAAAGGGGGATATGTATTTATGTAAACATGCCTGGGATGTTGAGGGTTTTAACTGGTTGAGTACTAAAATGTGCATGTTATACAGCATTTTCGTTAAACAAAAAGGACGTTTAAAAGGAAGCCTTGGTTTCGTAAGTGTGTTTTCTTGTTTTTTGACAAAATAAAAAATAAATCAGATTTCAGAGCAGCTACTGGTGTTGGCCTTTAAAACCCAGATATCTTTCCTGCTAACATCTTGAACAAGGTCAGGATAAAGTCAACAGACTGCAGTGTTGGGTTACAAATGAGTCATTTTTATTTTTTTTAGTGCAACATCACAACAAACAATTTTCACATGAGGTATTCAAAGGGATTTTCTTTAGTTGTTGATACAAAATGTCCCACCATGATTGACGTTTAAAGTTTTGTATATCTTTTTTTAAAGCCTTTGGTTGGTTAGCCACATTCATTAGTAAGTCTAACACATGGACAAGAATGGCACAATAAAGCATGGTGGGTCGAGTCCAAGCTGGGGAAAGTCAGACTCAGTCAGATATTTCCCTCAGCTCTTTCCCGTTTAAAGCTTTTTGTATGGATCTTATTAATTCCTACTTACAACAGTGGGATTGAACAGTATTTCAACTACACTAAACATTTTGAAAAAAAAAACAGGTGGGAGGGGTGGCTTACAAATGTGGAAAAATAGCTTCTGTCTCCTCTGATCTTTTTTTATGTTAGGATGAGTGCTTGATTTGGGGTTTTTTTTTTTTTTCTATTACAGCAATTCGCATAATTCTAGCTTTTGGAAAACAAGGAACAGGCAACGTTGATTACAGCAAGATCCTCCTTGCTTGGATTGTCACCTCCTTCTTTTTTGGTCTTGAGAATGATTTTATTTATATACAGAACATGGATCAATGGGACACTAGCATACTCGACTTGAGCTTTGGCTGGACAGGGGGTTCCTTCAGCCCCTTCACAGATTGATTCCAGCACATTTGGTTTGAAGAAGTAAAAGGCATGAAGAAGAAGAGACTGATGAACAGACAAGATAGATAGATAGATAGACAGACACCCTGACAGAATGGATTCTTTGGTTAAGGAACATTTTTGCCACACAACATCTCACACAGTTGAGGTAGATGGGTAAAGTCTTCATGTACGCACACGGGAGAAGACAGGGACAGAGGGGGAGACACTGGGGTCAAAAGACTTTCATCTGAAGACACTGCTTCATGTCAGTTTCTCAGTTCCAGCTCAACATAATACTGATTTATGCAACATAAATAACCAGCACACGGAACCCCACTGGTGCTTTTTTGAATCCTCTGAGTGCTACGGTAGCTCTGATGAGGAACTGCTAAAACTACCTACATTACATAATGATTCAGCAGTTACTCATTGATCTTTGGTTGTTTTTTCGTTCAAACGTTATCAAAAACAGTACTTTTTTGGTCTTTTTAAATTTTTTATTCTGAAAGTATATGTCAGCTTTCAGTTCTGCTATCTCATTATTAACGCGCTCCTAAGAATTGCTCTGCAATGGCCTCGGCTGCCAGGCTTGTCTCAGGGTCAAGTTTCTAGAAAAGTCACTAGGGGGTGCCGCAGGCTAAAATGGCAATGCGGATCACCTGCAGCAGCCAACTGGATTCACTCCTCCCTCCCGCCTACCCTCTGTACAGAAAGGGAAGAGCTTCCCTGCTTGACACGGAGCAGAGGGTGGCTCAATACAAAAAGCACTGTCTCCATTTTAGACTCGCAGTCAGAGAGACAAAGAAAAACCTGAAAGGTGTCACCTCAGCTTTGATACAATGACAGCAGTGGGCAGAGATCAGCAGAAGAGCCTTCAAGCTCTTTTATTTTTAATTTTTTCACCGCTGTACAGACACAGCCACACAACCCCACTGCCACCCCCCGTAGCTCTCAGCATGCTTACAATTGTTGCTCATTAAAGTTTAATTCAGCTCTATGCCCCACTACTCCAACACCTCCTGTTCCTCAAACAACCCCCCCTCCTACTTCTCCGCACACACTGCTACCACCATCCTCATTCTGGACGATTCAGCCTCCTCTCTGATCTCCCCCCACCCCTTTTTGAATGCCCCCTAAAGCCCACAGGTCTGGCCAAGAGCAGACCCCAGACCAGATACCCAGAGAGGAGACGGGATGAAAAAAGCCTCCCCTTTGAAGTCCACGAAAAAGTCGATGGCCTCTTTCATGACCACCCGTCTTTCAAGTGCACGCTGTGAAGGGGGCCCCGGCAATCCGCCTCTTACAACGTTAAAGACAGAGAAAGGGAGAGAAAATGAGACAGGGAAAGAGTCAATGTTGAAAACGGCAAATCTAGCTTTGCCACACTTGGGCAGCATTTAGTCGAGAGTGAGAAAATTAAATCTTGGGTGACTTCTCCTGATTTCAGCACCCGCTACTCAGAATGGAAAATCCAGGTAAGGAAGGAGGACCTAGAACAAACGCCAAAACTCCAAATGATTTGGAAAGATCCATGAAGCTCTTACAGGGTCAGGGACAAGCCCCACAAGCCTTACAACAAAATCTAAGACTTCTCAAACACTGAACTTTGGATGGCAGAGGGCATAGGTCATAAAACTAAAGAATCTTACAAAAGAAATTAAAGATTCCCAGAAAACGAGAATGGGAAAAACCTTCAAAAGACCTTAAAAACCACGGGTACATAAATCCAATTCCCCGGAAGATGAGGAACACCCTTTAAGAATCACATTGGACAGCAAACAAACCCAGAAAAAAACTCCAGTATCTCAATTCAAGTTGAGGAAAACACGGGAGGAGTCAGGAGTGAACCCTACTAAACGTCTTGGAACTGAGACAACTAGCAGAAGCCTTTGCGTGTGGAGGACGGTGAGATCACACTGAGAAGGACATAGACAGTAGTGTCTGCACTGCACTGGGGAAGGGGTTAGGTGAGGGAGATTGGGCGGGGTGGGGGGGTCATAACCATGCATTTCCCCAGGCAGATGCACAGTACGCATGTTTGCGCGTGACCCCGAAGGACTTACGCAACATTAGACAGTGCTTTAAGTGGGTCCCCAGACACATTACGCACTCTGCCAGATGGTATTGGTCTGAACACAACTTTACAAGCAACTTGTGAGCCTATGGGATGCCACATCATCTTTGTTATTATTGTTATTGTCATTATTGATAGTATTATTAATTATAAATATTATCACAACATTCAAACAAGCTTTGGCCTTGGCGTTAAGAGCTGACAGCAGAGACATTTGCAAGAGTAAAGAATTCCCCATAATTCTACAACAAAACAAAGAAAACAAAAAGGGCCAGGCCTTAAAGATAGAGAGATACGTAACATCACTGGGTGGGTCGGGCTGGATCCGGGTGGATCGGGTACTGGGTTTAGGGATTCAGGCCGTACATTCAGGGAGGCAATGTTAATCTTTGGTATTACGATGGGATTCTACAGCTAAAAGTGCCCATCACAAAAAGTTTTCAGTTTCACACAGACATACAGAGCATTGTTAAATAAATACTTACAGTATATAGATAGCATAAATAAATAACCAAATAAATAAAGGAAAGAAAAAGGGAAACCAATAAATACACAAATGCAGTAATAAATATGTTGATCAGATCATTAATTGCATTTGAAAAGTTCTTGGTTTGATTCATCTATTGGCTATAAGGAGGCATGGTTAAAGCCATTCCTTTGTGGACCAAAAAAATGACCTTGTACGTCAGCAGGGCTGAAACAAACTGCCCCACACTTCCAACGTGTTACTATAAATAGAGCGATGTGCTTGAAATCTGTACAAAAACATTGGAAAGAATCACATTCCTCCATTTTCTAGACATCTGTAAAAAAAAAGATTTTGTAATGGAGGAGTATACAGTTGTTTGGAAATGAGTGGAAAAAATACTACAATGTCACTATACATTGTGTCAGGTGTACCTCTTCTCCAGAGAGCCTTTGTGTTCAAATTGTTTTTGTTTTCGTTTTTTTTGTGTGTGTGTTTTGGTTTTTTTCTTTTTGATTTGGAGTCCAAAAAAATGGCTGTGGAGCTTTAATTTGGAAGCTCAGTGAGAGTCTTAAAGCTAGACGGTTGCACCAACAAGTCTGTTTCTGTGTCCTACTTGTGTTTATCGATTCTGTCCTGGCATACGGTGAGATGTGCCGCGATTCCCCCTTGAAAACTCTGATTCATTCGAGGTGGGACCGTCTTGACACAATACAGAAGAGGCTCCTGTTGATGGGAAATGATTGACAATTGGGAGTCACAGGCGCTACAGAACCCTCCTGATTATTCCAGGCTCCAAGCTTGGAACAACGCCATACAGTCCTGGGAACCATTACCATGGAAACACATGCTAAGAAAAGGGCATTCAGTTCTCCAAGAAAAAAAAATGAGGACTTAAAAAAAATGCCTCTTCTTCCTCTTTCACCTTGATTCTGGAGGAATAAAGGGACTACAATAACATCGGGGAAGGATTAATGTCTTCGGATGATGGCGATCACTTGATTAGGAAGTTACACAATGAAGCTCTCCAGATGTGAGCGAACGACACCTCTTGATTCTTCACGTTTGGAGAGATGAGAAAAGATTTGAAGGTACACCAAAATATGCTTCCTCCTGATTTGCAATACCCTCATTATCTCTAATCTACATAATCAAAATAATGCAATGAGATGGTGTCTATGTAAGGGTGTGACTCTTCTTTGAGTCAAATCATCTTTGCACCCTTGACTATACAGGCAAGACCTCACATCTTGCAATCATATCACTAAGCATTGCCCCTTCCTTTTCAAGGGAGCAATTAACTTTGGTTTGGGAAAAATGCTTCATCTTCATAAACTCATCTATAATAGCTGGCTCCATCTCTCCTTCTGATAACGAGGAGGACATTTATTACGGCTGATCTCTGCCTAGACCAGTCTATGTGCCCCCTTGCTCCCTCAGCGCCCTCCTCACCGCACCTCCGCGACGGTCTAGCATCACGCCGTGCTGCAGGACACTGCGGAGGAGGAAATGCTGGAGCCCGAGGAACCGGTGGAAGAAGGACGGCCCTCGTCTGCCCACTTGTTGAGGTTGCGTCGGCGGGCATTCATGAAGAAATTGCTGACAGTTGAGAGCTCCAGGCCCAGCTGCTGGGCAATGGTGACCTGGAGCTCTTTGGTTGGGCGGTGGTTCTCCCTGAAGATGGCCAGAAGCGTACGCCGCTGCAGGTCTGTGAACACCAGCCTGGTGCGCTTCGGGCCCTGGTTGCGCTCCAGCTTGTTCTGCTCCTGTTCCTTACGCTTGCAGGCT